TTCCTTTTTCTTTTTTTTTAAGCGATAGTAATTTTTGATAAAAATTTCCCAATTAAATGGTTTAGTTAAATTTTCAGCTAATATTTATCATTATAATGGATGAAAAAATGGAAGGAAGAATTCCTAGAAATTGATGTTGAACATCGAAATTTGATGTTGATTAAGCTGAGATTAATTCAGTAGAATTATTTGAAAGAGGAGGAAGATGAAGTGAAAAACAAAATGTGATTGGAAATTGTCAACAAATTTTTGAAATATTTCGAAACAAAAACATTCCCCATATTCTATTGCTAATTAATATTAGCAAGATTTTTATTGTTTAAAATTGAAATAATTTGAAATGAAAAAGCATATGAAAATAATAAATTTAAGCAAAACATCTAAAATTGTTGCAATTTTTAATTAAAAAAAAAAAAAAATAACTAGAAAAAGGTTGTTTAATGAAAATTTTAAAAACATTAATTAAAATAAAAATTCCCAAAAAAAATTACCTATTTTATTGAATATATATTTGTTTTACTTAACAAATATATTTCATTTTTTCATTATATTAATTAAATTAAAAATGATTGTTATATAAGTAAAAATATATAATATTACTATTTGTTATTTATTACTAATAACATCCTATCGATTATATTAGGTTATATTATTTAGTTAATTTGATAACAGCAATAGATGCAAACATATGAATTTCTCATCATCTTTCTATCCTAACTCTTGGCTCTTTTTAATTATCCAAACATGCTAGGATAAATTGATTTGCTCCTGTTGCCGTTTAGTGCCATTTAACAATTTTAATCGAATTCTCTTATATACTATTTTGTATAATTTAATCATATAAATTTCATATAATAAATATTGCTAAGAAGAAATGATAAATGATAAAAGGTTATATATATTCACCCTATTTTTGCTATTTTAATATTTCTAAACTAATAGCATAATATTAATTTGACTTTCAAATTTAGCCTCTTATAATTAATAATTAGTAAATAATTCCAACGAAATTTTAATTCATAAATTCACCGTTTTATTAAGTATTACTCTTTTTTTTGGTCCGAAATTTATTGCTAGTTAATTAAATATAAATGTATTACGGTGCCTGTTTCTTTTTTTTTTTGATATTTCCTTCAAGACATTAACTTATTCTCGAGAAGTACTATGGTATAATGCTAAAAGTTTGGCCATTTTTTTATGGCTCCTTCATATGCTTGGCTCTTTTAGCTATTTAGCTTAAATGGTAGCTTTTAAAAAGTTGATTTTATATTATTACTAATCATACAACAGCATTGTTCATTTAGCTAACAAATAAACCTTTTTCTTAATTAGAAATCTTTCGCACCAAATCATTTGAACAGTGTAATTTAATTATTCTGATCGAGTTTGAATTTTGATTATTCTTTAACTTTATTATATATTGATGGTTCTTGGTGACATCCACCCACCCTTTTTTGTGACATTATTTGAAGTTGGTACACATATTTCATTTTGAAATTTATAAAAATTCATTTCATTATACGAGATTTTCCCATTGCTTTTTTTTTTCTCTCTATCACTTTTCTAATCGATTCGTCTATTTTGTTTGCTAATACAAAAAAAAAAAGTGGGAAAATGGCGAAAAAATTCGATGAAATGTTTGATAATAGCTAAAATTAATCAAACCATTACAGTTTATTTTTAGCTTTAATATTTGACAACAATATTTTTCATCAATTTTAATGAATTCTTTTATCCATATAGGTTGACAATTTTAAGCAAAAAAGAGAGAGAAAAAAAAATGCGAGAGATTGTTCATATTCAAGCTGGCCAATGTGGTAATCAAATTGGTGCAAAGGTAAAAGTAATTTCAAACTTACATTTTTTCAAAAATACTTTTTTAAAAAATTAGAAATTGATAATTTAAAAGAAATTATTTTCTTTTTATAAATATTTCATGTATTATTCATTTATTTATTTAATTACTTAATTAGTTATTTATTTATTTATTTTTTATTGATACAACGAATATTAGTGTATGTTTTTTTTTTACTTTAACATAAAAATAGACAAAAGTATGATTTCATGCTACTGTGAAATATTTCAAACGATAAGTTACAGTTTTGGGAGGTAATATCAGATGAGCATGGAATTGATCCAACAGGTGTATATAATGGTGATTCTGATTTGCAATTGGAACGAATAAATGTTTATTACAATGAAGCTAGCGGTGAGATTAGCATCGATTTGGTTTTTTTTTCTTTTTTTTTTTCGATTTAGTTTGATTAGAAATATCAACAACTGAGATATTGAAAGTTGGATGAATTAAAAAAAAAAAACTTTTGTCGGTCTCTGTTCTCATTCATTTTCAAAATCTTTGATTATTTGTTGCTAGGAAAGAAGAAAAAAAAAAATTGATCGATTTTTGAATGACTACTTTTTTTTTCCACTTGAAATCACAGCAAAATTAAAGTTTGCTTTAAAGAATTAGCTAAGAATGTAATTGAAATATTAATGAATAGTCAAAATAGTCGGTTACTTATTGTCAAAAATTTCACTAATTTAATTTTTCACGCTTATTTTTCCAAAGATTCATTGCTTGCTAATTGCGTTACCCAATAATTTAAATTTTGAAATTCTAAATATCAGGCGGAAAATATGTTCCTCGCGCTTGTTTGGTTGATTTGGAACCAGGTACAATGGATTCTGTTCGTGCCGGACCATTTGGGCAACTTTTCCGTCCCGATAATTTTGTCTTTGGTTTCTAATTTTATTTCACAATTCTACAAGCATATTCTCTACTAGTTAACTAGTAGAACGATTGAAAAAAAAAAGAAGCGTTCTTCTTATAGTTCCATTTTATAAATTTGAAATAAAATTTAAAAATTATAAAAAAGGATGTACAATAGCATAAGTTACATTTGCTTTTTTGTTATAAGATAAAATTGTTAAATTTGTTGATAATTAATATAAATTAAATTGATAACAATAACAGATTGTTATAGGTCAAAGTGGAGCGGGCAATTGTTGGGCCAAAGGTCATTACACGGAAGGTGCTGAGCTTGTGGACAATGTCCTTGATGTTGTACGAAAGGAAGCTGAATCTTGCGATTGCCTACAAGTGATTGGTTTTCCATGCAATTTTCTTTGGCACATATATGATACTAAGCCACTAATTGTTTGATGCAATATTAAACTTGGCTTAAGAGAAAATTAATTTCCAAATTATAGTGATATTCTAAATAAATTTTCACAAATGTAGGGCCAATTTTGCCAGATGATATATTTATTGCTCTTTTAGGGTTTCCAAATGACACACTCTCTTGGTGGTGGAACCGGTTCCGGAATGGGAACTTTATTGATTTCAAAAATCAGAGAAGAGTATCCTGATCGAATCATGAACACTTTCTCTGTTGTTCCATCGCCAAAAGTTTGCCATAATTATATCTTTAATTGCTTGATCTTTATTAACCAGTGAATTTGCAAATTAAAACAAAAAAAAAAAACACTTTGTGATATAATTTCGATTAATAGCTGATTTTAATACATCAAATGTTAGTACTAAATTATGCTTTCTTGAATGTTTTAAAACAATATGAACAATTTGAGGTATCAGATACAGTAGTAGAACCATACAATGCCACTTTATCGGTTCATCAATTGGTTGAAAATACCGACGAAACATTTTGTATCGATAATGAAGCATTATACGATATTTGTTTTAGGTAAAAAATCTTTTCGAATTTTACAAAAATAACTTTTTCACAGTCTGTTCATTCCATAATATAAACTGTAACTCTTGATATATCGTTTCTATCTTGAACTTTGACCCCTTGCTTATGCATAAAGTTTTGGTTATTTTCTAACATATCCAAACAATTGCTGCATTTCATATCAAAAAAAAAAAAAAGAAAAGAAAAAAGGTTTATTCACCATGAAATATCATTTCAGAACGTTGAAATTAACAACGCCAACATATGGAGATTTGAATCATTTAGTTTCGATGACAATGTCTGGTGTCACAACATGTCTACGATTCCCTGGCCAGGTTTCTAGAAAATGTTAAAAAGAAATAATCTTATCAGTTAGAAAAAATAATTGTATATTGTTGAATGATAATAAATTATCATTTTTATATAATTTTATTTTGTAAAAAAAAAATTTTCAAATTATACTTTTAATAAATTGTAATATTTCAGTTAAATGCTGATTTACGAAAATTAGCTGTGAATATGGTACCATTCCCACGTTTACATTTTTTTATGCCTGGTTTTGCACCTTTAACATCACGTGGTAGTCAACAGTATCGTTCATTAACTGTTTCTGAATTAACACAACAAATGTTTGATGCAAAAAATATGATGGCTGCATGTGATCCACGACATGGACGATATTTAACAGTAGCTGCTATCTTTCGTGGTAGAATGTCAATGAAGGCTTGTTTATATATATTTACTTAATTATAATCGATTAATTATGTGAATTTTATGAGTAATTATTAAGTTTTCTATTATTTGATGAATAAAATGGCAGCTAAATTGTCATCGTGTTTTTCATTTTCATAACTTAATTATTAAATTAAAAAATTTTCAAGAAGAAGATAACCTTTTATAATAAGTTAAAATTTCTTGAAAAAAAAATTAAATTGTAAATTTTCAATTACTAACAATAATTCATTTGTTATCTGAAAATTTTTATAATTTGAAATGTTTAAAAACTTTATTTTACAATTTTAATACAATTGCAATATACACTTTGATTTTTGATGAGAAATTTTCGCAAATCTCCTTTCTCTTGCTTTTTTTTTTTCTTTTTAAAGTGTAGAAGAGTGATCCGTAAAGATCAAAAATCAATTTTACATAAATATTACATAATTTATAGGAAGTAGATGAACAAATGTTAAATGTACAAAATAAAAATTCATCATATTTCGTTGAATGGATACCAAATAATGTGAAAACAGCTGTTTGCGATATTCCACCAAGAGGTATTAGAATGGCTGCTACATTCATTGGTAATTCGACCGCTATCCAGGAATTATTCAAACGTGTCTCTGAGCAATTTACAGGTAAACTTCTTTTCAGTTTGCTATAAGAAAGCCTTATAAGATCACCTATCATCATCATAAGTAATGACTTTACTTTTAGAAATCTAATCAAATTTTGATTTAGTATTAGAAGTGGTAATCATAAGAATGTTTTATATGAATAGAAATAAATTTGAAAAAATAAATTAAAAGAATAAATACGTAAGTGTCATTGTCGTATAAAAAATAACAAAAAAAAAGAATTTTTTTTTAGCTTCCTTTTTTTTTTTCATTTTTTAGTAGAATTAGAAATATCTCAATTAAATGGAATTCAAGTTCTCTTAGATTTAAAACTGTTGACAATTACATTTTAGTGAAAATATAGCAATGATTAGTTTATCCAAATGAATTCGTGAGCATTTAAGTTTCAAAAATTTTAAGCAATGTTTCGACGAAAAGCATTTCTGCATTGGTATACCGGTGAAGGGATGGATGAAATGGAATTTACGGAATCAGAAAGTAATATGAATGACTTGATTTCCGAATATCAACAATATCAGGTTACTTTCTCATCTCTTTTTTACCTTTTTTTTTTTTTTTAAATATAACTTTAAAATAGACAATGAAATATAACTGCAAAAATTTCGCATTCATCTTGATACTGTATCACCTTGTCCTATAAAAATTAATAATAAAAATTACCTATTGTTATTAAAAAATAAATTTACCAGGAAAGAAGTATCAATGGTTAGAGTTGTTTAATCAATCGTATGACAAATCGTATGACAAATTTTTTTTTCCTTTGTTAAAAAATACCTCTTTCCGATAAGTTTATTTCTTGATGAAAAGGTTAAAATTTTTCTAATTTTGAAAACTTTTTAACTGTTTTAATTTTTGTTTTTTAGGATGCGACAGCAGATGAGGAAGCTGAATTTGATGAAGAAAATGAACCTGACATGGAATAATAAATCTAACATTGCTTTTTCCATCTTTTTCTCACTCATTACTTTTTCCAATAAATATGCAAAAATTTGTTAATTCTGAAAACTTCTCGAAAATATGAACTTTTTCTTGCAATTTATTTCCAATGATTTGTAAGAATAATCAATAATATACTAATGTGAAAAGTTTAATTTGTCACTAATGAACTATTATAGCAAGTATGACAGGTGACACAAACAATATACTTCAAAATATCTCAATTAATGCGTCATGCTAAATGTTTAATTATTGAATTGAAATGAATCATTCAACGAAATTATTCCAGAATCAAATTATATACAATGAATGTTCCTTATCATTCGTGAAATTTATTCCTAATTATTTTTTATTAATTATGGTATTTAATGACATTTACCATCAATGAATGCAATTAATTTATCTTTACTAAAATTGCATTTCAACTCTTTTCAGTTCATTTCATCATTTCATCCATTCCATTCAATTCTCTTCATAAAATTTTCAACAACATTCTATCATCATACATTTTAATGTATTACATTTTTCTCCTAATATCTACAATCAATAATTCCTCTTTCAATTTTCATTAATTATATAAATCAATATTCCAAGTTTAGAAAATAAACTCTAACAAATATTATAAATTATTTTCCTAAATAAGATTATTTATTACAATTGATGAATGAATTAAAAATTTGATTGGAAAATTTTTTCTGCAATAAATTACTGTAACCAACAAATTACTGTAATCCCGGTATTGGTAACTTTTTTTATTTTTATTGTTTTTTTTTTTCACATATTGTTTACAGAGTTATTATCCTTGAAAATATTGCTAAATCATTGTTCCAAATTTACTACTCTCCTCTTTTTCACAACGCTATTTACTCATTCTCATTTTTAAATTCAATTCCAATTTATGTATTCAAATGTAATATTGGTGCTTTTTATTTAATAAAAAAGCGAAAATGATGAAATATGGTTAGAAATATACTATACCAAGACTGATATTGGCTAACAAACATTTGGCTACTTTACTGGACAAGGATATGACGATGGTCCTATTCATTTGACTTAAGTTAAAAATTCATAAATTATATACAATATAATTTACCTTGGGAAAAAAAAAAAACAATTCATGATTATTTGAAGTAATCAATTCCAGAAATGTTATCTTTATAAATGATTCAAAGTGTCGAAATGTTACAATAAAAATGAAAAAGAAAGGATTGCATCAACTTCACAACTTCCCTTCTAAATTATCATTCATTTCAGCAACAAACATTCTACACTTATCATATAAAGTCTAGACTAAATACTCAACACTAGGCTTCTTTATTCTTCACTTGATACTAGTCTGGTTAGTTGCACATATCCTCTAGCTACTATATATATCGCACAATTTAAATATTTCTCTGTTCCTTTTCAGTTTTTTTTTTTTTTTCTTTTTTGAAAAGCAAAAGAAGACAAAGAAGAGAAGATATCGTAGAAAATATACGACCCTTTCGCTACCACTTGTAGGCAATAGCATGAAATGAACATCCATGCATATATTGAATGTAATATCGGCTTAGGCTTTGGCTCTTTTACTGGGCTACACTTAGCTCACTTTTAAAGTTCTCTTTTTTTATTGTCTAACAAAATGTCCTCCATATAGTAATAGATATCTATTCGAGTCATCTCCCAATGCCATCATTCGTCATTTCCCATTATTCAGTTTTCTCCTTTCCAATTTTAATTCTCTCTTCTGTATAGCTAAACCTAACAAAATTATCATACATTTTCTTTTTCATCACTTTTCATCCATCCATTTATTCATTTATTTGCTCACTTAACTAATTAATTAATTAACCAATTATTTATTTATTCATTTGTTTGTTTATTTCAATCCTATTTTAGATCATATTATTAGTTATATTGCAAGAAATGCGTGAAATTGTTCATATTCAAGCTGGCCAATGTGGTAATCAAATTGGTTCGAAGGTATATAATCTCTTCAGTCTTTTTTCTCCTTTTCTAATCAGAAAATTTATTTTACATTTTTTTTCTAATACAAATTTTCTAATCAGAAAATTTATTTTACATTTATTTTATTAAAATTTATTTCACATACACAAAGAAATGTTGTAAAATTAAAAAAAAATAAAATTATAAAATGAAAAGAGTTTAAAAAAGTGAAATTATAGTTTTGGGAAGTGATATCAGATGAGCATGGAATTAATCCACTTGGACAATATCAGGGGGACAGCGATCTACAACTGGAACGTATCAGTGTTTATTACAATGAGGTGCAGAAGCAACGATATGTACCGAGGTTAATATATGTTAATTTCATCATTTAAGATTTTTCTAATAATGAGAGGAAGTAAATTAAATGTATCAAAATGGTACATAATTGTAAGAATGTTTCACCGGATAAGCTTTTCCGGAATTTTCCACGATGACAAAGTTTCCTAAGTATTTCTTTTCTTTTCTTTCTTTC